CGCGAGTCGGTTGACCCCCAAGGAGCTGGGACTTGTCCCGGCTGTCCACGAAGTACAGGCGGACGATGATGAAGATGATCATGTAAAGACCGCGTCCAAGCAACACCTTCGGCCTGTCCAGCCGATTTCGCCCAAGCGCGCTTCTTTGGCCGATGTCTTATCCAACAGTCTAATCCTCGATCATATGGCCCCATATCTGTCAATTTCCTCATTGTTGACTCTAGCATCTACTTCCCGCCAGGTTCGGTCATCGATAGTGGACACTCCCTACATTTTCCGCCACCTTGATCTGACCCAATGCCGTGGTGCGAAACCAACCAGCACATCTACGGCAGACTCGGCGGAGCAAGTATGGAGTGGCGAGCAAGGGGAAGACTCCGTAGTCGAGGATGAAGTTCATTCTGCGCCTCTGAGGGGCATCTTTGCTAGTCTCCAAAGGCAGTCGATCCTGCAGGACGTGCGCACATTGGTTCTGGATGGACTGTCCGTTCCAGCGGATTTGCTTGCGGAAATTATCCTCACAGATCGCTTCAACGTCAACATTCTATCTATAAGGGAGTGCCGCCATCTCAATGAGCGGAAACTGATGCAGGTGCTGACCCATGCGGTACGGCCTTCCCGCCCTAAGGGCACACCCCGCGTTAAAGGAATCTATCACTTTACTCCCCCCCAACAGTCTCGTGCGGTGATCCGCAGCAGATACCGCGACTGGTGGAGCTCGAGATGTGGCAGCCAATCGTCCATTACTCCGAGTCCGGAAAACGGGTCTGCAACTGGTGAAGTTGCTGAAAGTGCCACACAGCAACAGGATGCATGGTATCGCTCGTCCGGGCAGCTCTTCAAGCGGAGCATTGAGGATGGCTGGGCAGAGACAATCAAGCAGTGCGAAGGTATCATTGCATTTGACGCTGTTTTGTGCCGTGGTCCTCGTCACGACGTTGATCTTTCCACTCCCATGCCGGAAGGCCAGAGTGCATCTCAGCCAGAGGGCCGGCCGCCGCTTGCGCCAAAACTGGCAACTGTTGCACTAGGGCCCCGAGGATGCGATGGCTGCCACACCTCACCCGAAGGCCCGACCTTCTGGGGCCAGTCCCCGGATGAAAACCTTCCCCTGCTCACGCCGCCACCGCTCCACTCTTCCTCTGTAGTCAAGGCAAAATGGCCGGTGTTGATTCCGGACGAGCAGCCCAGTCTAATCGCTCGCTGCACAGATTGTTTGACAGATCGGTGGTGCCATCGTTGCAATAAATGGTTCTGTGAGGATTGCCTGCCTCATCCAGAGCGTGTACGGAACAATCTTTCGCCGCACCAGACAGCGTTCAGAAACCCGCAGAGTAATCTGGGTAGTACTGAACAGTCCGAAGATCATAGTGTTCGTATCTGAAAGGCGCCGTATGATGTAGAAAAATTGGCTGACTAAATTGAACAGCACTTCAGCCGCGGTGTAAGCAAAGATTGCTGGGAATGCGGTCCAACGGTAAGTCAATGAGACTACGGTTATGTTTGCCGCTGTTCTAACAGCTTGTGCAGTGTGTCCAGTGCAAGACGGAATTCCAGCGAACTTGCCAAAGCTGCCGTGGTGAATATTGTGTTGAGCACAATGAGGGATGTTCGTCGACGATGGTATGCTCCTTAAGTCACCCAGACCCCTTTTGCGACTCACATTGACCTTGTTGGCATTCTCACAGTGCGATTGGTGCAATGCCAGTACCCGGCATCGGGTGAGAGAACTGTACTGACATACTGTGCGAGTCGAGGCTCCCATGAGCTAGTTTGGAGCAGACACGCAATTCTGAGATCCTTCAAACATCTAAGTATTCTCAACCTCTCTCAGCCTGATCTCATCTTGCTATATTGAGGCTTTTTTTCGTTAGGGTTCACGATCTCGTCTCTTTCATTTTTTCTTCATATATATATATATATATATATATATATATATTTTCTTTGGGTAGTACTATATTAGCCGGCGTGCTTTTCTCGCCACTCAGAATACCACTGCAGCGCGTATGATTTAGCCATAATTTGAGTGTATCTAGCTTGAAAGGACTGTAGGCCTTAGGAAGCAAGAGGGGGTAAAATAATGATCGTTAACTGCCAAAATGTAGTAGTAAGATGGAGTAGTAGTAGGGAAAGTGGACAGTAAACAGACTGAAGTTAGATGACAAATCGGCGCTTGGAGTTCCAGAAGGCACGCGGTGTTTCGCAACCTGAGATGAGCCGCAATGGCATGCATGCATTCTTTTCATCATTCATCGCCTCCCCCCGCCCACCATTCTTAATCTCTGATTCTTGACCCATGATGGTCTCCGCTACTGCCCTCGTCTCCACTCTCCCCTCCACACTCCCCTTCCCTTTGCTTCCTCACATACCTCTTTCCCTCCCGCTTCGGATATCATGACGGGGAACCAAGGTTCCTTGCGCTGGTCATCGCAATTGACCGTTGCTCCAGCCCAGCAAATTCCCAAGCTTTCCGGTGATAAGATCATACTGCCGCCATCCGCGCTCGAGCAGCTTCTCGCGGCTGCCCCGCTTCAAGAGGTAAATTCGTCAGGTCCAGCACGCCCATACACCAGCACTTTCGATCCTTTCAATCCGCACACCTTCGCCGCCGAGTCCCAGGCGCGCGAACGGGCGGTGGATCGCCAGCAGCAATTGCCCCATCCGCTTACGTTCCGCATCGTGAACCCTCAGAACGAGCGGGTGGTATATGCTGGCGTTCGTGAGTTCTCCGCGCCAGAGAACGAGATTGGTCTCAGTACCTTTTTGCGCGGGGCACTTGGCATTGATGCCACTGGACGACCGTCACCACACGATGATGATGGTACTGATGGTGAAGTGACAAACGATGCGCCAGCCGCCCCAACCACGGTCACGGTCCATGCGCAGCAGTTACCAAAAGGTACTTATGTCCGTCTGCGCCCTCTAGAAGCTGGATACGACCCGGGGAATTGGAAGGCTTTGCTTGAACGACAGCTGCGGGACAATTACACCACATTAACCTCTGGAGAGGTCCTCACTGTTGCAGGGGGGCGCGATCAGTCATTCCAGTTCTTGGTTGACAAAGTTGAGCCTCATGGCAATGGCATCTGCGTTGTGGATACGGACTTGGAAGTGGATATTGTCGCCTTGACGGAGGATCAAGCCAGAGAAACGTTGGAGAAACGATTGGAGAAATCTGCTCGTGTCTCTGGGAATAGGGCAGGCACATCTGTTGGGGGCGAGTTGCGACTTGGTCAAGTAGTAACTGGCCAGGTTGCGCTTGGGGACTATGTCGACTACGAGGTCCACAAATGGGATCCTACGAATGCACTGGAAGTATCTGTCGAGGGTGCCGATGAGGCAGATCTCTGCCTCTTTGCCAGTCCCCTTTCTGCTCGCCAGAGGAACCGACCGCGGGAAGATGAGCATGTTTTCAGTGACCTATCGAATCGGCCGACTAAACGGATTAGGATTCAACCAACGAATGTGGATATGGAAGGCGCTGAGATGCTGTACATATCGGTACATGCACCCACTTCCACCGCCAGTTCAGAAACTGGAGTTTCGGCGCTGCCGTATAGCCTACAGGTTCATGTGGGCTCGTCACCCGCACAAGCTGAGAATGCTGCAGGCATCGAGCCAGAAAGCCATGAACCGGGTGATGTCCAGTGTAAGAACTGTCGTCAATGGGTACCTGAACGGACATTGATGCTACATGAGAACTTTTGCCTTCGAAACAACATCCTCTGCCCCCAGTGCCAGAACGTGTTCCAGAAGCGGTCTTCGGAATGGCAAAATCATTGGCATTGTCCTCATGATTCAGCTTATGGCACCGGCGACGCGGAAAAGAATCGACACAATCTTTTTTTTCACAGCAAGCGCTCCTGTAGTAGCTGTGGATTTGAGGCGGAGGACCTCCCACGTCTCGCTCAACACCGCACAACTGTCTGTCCGGCCAAGCCCATTTTGTGCCAATTTTGTCATCTTGTGGTCCCTCAAAAGAGTGAGTCAGACCCTGAGATGGATGATCCGGACGTTTTAGTCTCCGGCCTCACACCACATGAATTGGTGGACGGTGGCCGGACAACCGAATGCCACCTTTGTGACAAAATCATCCGTCTTCGCGACATGAAGATGCACCTTCGCCACCATGATCTAGAACGCCTGTCTCGACCCACTCCTCGCATATGCTTAAATAAAAATTGCGGACGGACGCTTGACGGACGCGGTACGCAGACTGCAGTCAAGCTCGGTCTATGCAGCATCTGCTTTGGACCACTGTACGTAGACACCTACGATCCCGAAGGCAAAGCGCTCCGGCGGCGCATCGAGCGCCGCTACCTCTCTCAGATGATGAGCGGCTGCGGCAAATCATGGTGTCAAAACGAATACTGCAAGACGGGCAAGCAAGCTAGACCGTCTTCCACATCTGGTGTGTCTGCTCCGATGGGCGCGGCTGCTATTCTAGCCGCAGTGCGGCCTTTGCTTGACGCCGTCAATCTTCAAGGAGATGCGCCGAACACCGCTCCTTTCTACTTTTGCACGGATCAGGCAGGCCAGCAACGTCGCATTGCTGCAGAAATGCTCTCAGCTGAGGGCGCAGTAGCTGACGGCAAGACCTATGCATTGCCGTGGTGCGTTTCCGCCGTTGAAACCACAGCGGGGAATCTAGACAAGGCGCGAGAGTGGTTAGAAAATTGGGCGCCTGCGCAGGGGGAAGGCACGTATTCGCTTCAACGGTAAATAGAAATTTGTTAATATTGTCAAATACCATGCAGAATATTACAAGCCACTTAAGCAACGATACTATTCAAGCATTGTGTATTCTCTCACGTGTTGAATGCGGATCACTATCAATGTTAGAATACTCTATCTAATGAGGCCTGCTACGCACTTGTGGCTGGAAGATATCCCTCAGACTTGATATTATATTTGAACTCTTTTCGTGGACATCTAAATTCAGAATTTATAAATCTACGCAGTTCAAGGAACAATCCATGTCTCCTTAAATAGTATGTATAGAAGAAAGGGAGAGCTTAATGATTCGTTGTCATGATTTCAATCAGATATCGTCTGTGCATGCTTGCATGTATAATGTGTATCACGCCGCGCCCGTCTTAGCAGCCAGAGTCCCACTTCCCCGAGACGAAAAGATACCCATGATCCCAAAGACCACATAAAACAATGCCAGTGGGTACGCGACTAGGCCCCTCATTCCACGCATGCGCGCCACAGCACAGAACATTCCCGAGGAGCTGTACGTGCACCACCCCACGGCGGCGGTAGTCAACAAGTATCCGAACAGAGTGTCCATAGGGATCAGGATCCCAACTAAGCTGGTCAGCACTAGCGGAAGGAAACAGTATCCCAGCACGCTAGCGGATCGAGGGAAGGTCAAAGTAGCGGAGAAGTGGCCGGCAGCGGAGGAGTCCGACATCGTGGGTTTGTGATGGGGAGAGTAATTGGCGGGATCTGCGGCGTTGGGGACGGGGGCCGTATCGAGGGCGGGAGACATCAGACTGAGAATGAGATGTAAAGCTACGGTCCCGAAGACTGCGACGCCGTAAATGTAGCCGTAGAAGACCTTGCCGGAGAGGAGCAGGAATGTTCCATATAGAACGATGTATAGAAGGGCTCCGTAGAGGTCGCTGTCATCCATGAGGTGTTGGTCGATACGCGCAAAAGGGTTGAGCACAGTTAGGGTCTATAAGGTAGGAGCAATGGTAAGCTTGGGTTTCACTAGAGCTCCTGCTGTATATAGCTGGTTGATCAGACCGGGGGGGGTGGGGGGCTTGCAATATGTACACACCTTCGTGCGGATATGCTCGAAATTGACCCCCAACTCTTCTAGAAGTGGCGGCTCCCCATCGTAGCCCTCCGTGCCAAATGCAGCGAGCCATCCGGTCCTCAGTCCTCCTTGCTCACCCATCCTTCCACTGACTCCTGCAGAAGGGGACCCGAAGCCGCCATATCCGCCACCAACCCCTCCGACGGGGTATGCCTGAGATGCTGGGTTAGGCGCACCACCGAAACCGCCGTAGGATGCCTGTGACGGGGTCGTATGGCCCGAGACGGAGGTATAGGATGAAGGGTAGAATTGGAGGTTTTGCGCCGATGATTGTACGCCGTAAGGCTGCTGCTGGGGGTAATACTGGGCCATTGCGGCCAGGCTTTGGGGTCGATGTCGGATTGAAGAGATGAGTAGCAACTGTAGGACCTAGTGTACGTGTCGGAATGTCGCGCTATCGACCAGAAGAGTAAGCAGAGGGGGAGACAGTGATTTGGGAAGTTGAGGATGGAGATGGAGACGAGGAGTTGCAAGTAGAGAGAGAACAGCTGGCGGGCGGTGAGATGAGTTGCCTGAGTCCTCAAGGCCACCAGCCACATCGCTTCCTTCGTATTGCTACAGAGATAGTTATTAGTTATATACTTAACGAGCTAATAATCGTAGAACATCAACGCTTAATTGATTCATGCTTCTAACAGGAACGGGAACTCCCTTAGGAAATAATAAAAATATGAGCAACTCTCCCCAGTCTCCCTTCCCCCTCCTCTATCTAGTTTGTTACATTGTCAAATATTTTCTACAGGAAATTAATGCCGATTCCAAACTGCAGCCCCTTCCGGCCTTCCTCACCCTTGCGAAGTACCAGGGGTAGGGAGAAGTTGAGCTCGAACCTGGCCACTGGATGGGCGTAGACAAGTCCGACACCCGCCGCGATGCTAGGCAGACCATTGGTCAGCTCGGAAACCGTGGAAGCCATGGCATTTTGGACATCCGCTCCCGAAGTAGGTGCGTTCTTGTCAGCCGTGCGGAGGGACAACAAACGTCCGCCGTTGACAAAAGCTTGCAGGCGGAGAGGCTTCTCCGCGCCTACCCTGGGGAGCGGGAACAGAAGATTGGCGCTTCCTGCAGCATAGACATCACCACCGACAGCATCTGCTCCATCATGGGGACCAAGACCGCAGAGACGGAATCCACGGACATCCGTAGGGCCTCCAAGTAGGAACCGGTCGTTCGTGCGAGAGAGCTGGGGTTTGGAGTCACTGTCGAGGCCAAGAGGGTAAAGAAGGCCGGCGCGGAAGCCAGTAGTCAAGCTGATACCACTGTCCCCTTTGATACCAGGAATGGGAATGGGAATTGCAGCTTGTGTTTCAATCTCTGACTTCCAAAAGGAGACATCGCCCTTGAGAGGGCCCCAGCCAGCCACTTCGTTGAACAACTTCGCGTAGTAACCACGAGAGGGAAGAAGCGGGCTATCTCTTCGGTCCTTGGTCCAGCTGTGGAACACGCTGCTCTTGACACTGTCGCCTGCATCAGCTCGAACAGTAGGGGATGCGTTCTCGGCAAGTCCAGTCATCTGTCTCCAGAAACCGTTGTAGCCGAATTCATGTTGTTGACCGGAAGGACTTGCCCAGCGGAATTTGGACCATCCTCCTCGAAGCACCTCCTCGTGGCTCGCCCAGGACTTCTGCGTGGCACTGGCAATACCACCAAGCTCCAGACGGAGATCCGGGTTACTCAGGACTGGGGTGTCAAAAGTGGCTTGATAGGCAGACCTTGTTCGGGTGCCCAGAGACGCATTTAGGTTCAGGTTCTCTGCACCTCCGAACACATTACGCCACAGGAGGTTGCCATAAGCCGAACCTTCGGCATTTCCAAGATCAGTACCTGTCTTCAACAGCACCCGGGACCTTTCTTTGCCGGAGAGATGAACTTTAATGCTCGGGATACCCGACCCGTCTACTTCGGACTGGTCCAAGTATACCGAAACGGGTTCTTGGAAGATGTCTAAACATGAAATTAGAGTCGAGCCTTAAGCTAGCTATCGTCAGGGAAGGGACGAACCGAATCTGTTGAGCTTGTCCGCACGTGCCGAAACTTCCCGCAAGGCCTCGGAGAGCGTATAGGGTCTGTCTTGATTACTGCTCAGAAGGGGATCGAAGATTCGCTCCAGGAAGCCTCGGCGGGTGTTGCGAGCTCCGTGAACCTCTACCGAAGAAATAGTGCATGGCAACGTGGAGTTTTGGTCGAGCTGATGTTATACAAGCTCATAGGTCAGCTATCATGACGCACGATGTATAGTAGTAGTAATGATCATATCCATGGCCCACAGCCAACCATGAGGGAACAGTAGCTTACCAATTCACCAAGGCGAGTCTGTGCCTTTTGATAAATGGCACGAACGCGCTCATCAACTGCCTGCTGCTGCTCGTTCAGCACTTTCGGATCGGCACGCTGTTGCAGGCGCGCGAAGATCTAGAAGAGAGAGAACGCCGTTTGTGGTCAGTGCATAGTGCCCGGGGGAATTCCTCAGGGTGAAACTAATGGGGACTCATCACGAACATCTTCGTCATCAGCAGAAAGTGGAGAGGACATTGCTGCGGCGGCAATGGCCAGATGGGACCTGCTTTTCCTTTCCTGCTTTCCCTTCCGAAGCGGCGAAGATGAAGCCATCCGCCCTCGCACGTGACCGTTCCCCGAGGTGCCTCCGGGGGGTTCCTTACAAGCCAGGCCGCAACGCAACTAAAACCAACTATAGACCCAGATCTTCCCTCTCTCCCCTCTCTCCCCCATTCCGCCATCGCCTTGGTGTCAGATAGCGTTTGCCTTGCGATCTGCTCCTGTCCGCCCCTTTTGACTTTGGGCCAGTTCCCAACAGCTCAGTCTCGGTTATTAATTCTACCCTTGTCGCCCCTGACCTTCGCTACTTTCGTTCTTTTGTCCTCCCGTACTTCGCCCCCGTCTCCGATCTTATTGCAAACAGACCCAGAACGAACTATAAAAAGGATGGCGACAAAAGCGGCTTTCAAGCGCGTGCGTTGCGCCCTATAAAAAAGGAACCATACCATTGCATTGTATAATTAACAGATGAACAGCTTACTCGCGAATACCAGAACATTCAAAAGAATCCCCCGCCTTACATTGTGGCACATCCGTCAGAGTCCAATATACTTGAGTACGTCATTTGTAGCAGACTATCACTATCTGCGTCGCCTGTTTGCGACTAAAGTTGACCTTCCATCTAGATGGCACTACATTCTCACGGGACCCCCAGGCACACCGTATGAAAATGGCCAGTATTGGGGTACCCTAATGTTCCCTCCCGAGTACCCATTCGCTCCTCCGGCTATTCGTATGCACACTCCTAGCGGTCGCTTTCAACCATCAACTCGGCTATGCCTCAGCATCAGTGACTTTCATCCAAAGTCATTTAATCCCGCTTGGGAGGTTTCAACCATTCTCATTGGCTTGCTCTCCTTTATGACGAGCGAAGAGATGACCACCGGAAGCGTGAGCGCATCGGAGGCAGAGCGACGAGTGCTGGCGGCGCGGTCTAGGTGGTGGAATTCTACTGGTGGCGGTTCCCATGTCAGCGCGACCCCAGGCGTGACCCCTACTGCCAAGGGTATCAACAATGTGAAAGCTGGAGACGGCGGTCTAAAGTTTCGCTCGGAGTGGCCAGAGCTTGACCAAGAAAATTGGAGGTGGATGAAGGATAGTCGCATCGACACCAACACTGGCCAGCTCATGCCTGATCCTAGTGCGACTAGATGCTCTCCAGAGACAAGTGCGCTTCGCCGACGACCGAATGGTAGCGCTCCGGGACTCGGTGCGGTGATGGAAGGCGGCCATGTCGCCCGAGAAGCAGGCCAAAGCTGGGTCCGCCGCAACAAGATCTGGCTTGGGTTTGCAATTCTATTCGGATATGCACTTCTGACCAGGCTGGTGAAGGATGTCCAAGGCTAATGGCCGACAATGTCGAGCTGGCTCGGCTTTCCGCTCCCTTTGTATATTTCAGATTGCCCAATTAAGCGTTTGATCGGACATGCAGACACCCCCGAACGATTTCCCTTTCTTATTCTGTCTTTTTTTTTTTTTTTTTTTGTCTTTCCCAGCCAGTGCTGTTTCTGATCGACTGATTTCTTTCAAGGACCCCGCTTTCAGTTTTATTGTTTCAGTATAGTGGTCCGGGAGAGTTTGTGCAGATATTTATGGGCTTATCTGATTTCTCAGTTACTGGAGGGCGCCGGGGGATTTCAGTTGGCGTTCCAGACATTCATCAGATTATTTATCACTTCTCCTCAACCGTTTGTCGTTGGATCTGCTCTATCCCAGCCCTTTTGCGTCTTGGAACATGCGATTGTTGTTATCTAAGAGGTCGCCCAACCAGGATGGTAAGGATGGTTTGGATCCGGATGGAGCGAATACTTGTACATAAGTAAGTCTGCTTAATATTAGAAAGAATCACTCTTGCAGGCGTGGTGGCCTCCACAGTATCAAGTACTTGTTTCTGCTCTGACCGCAGCAGTGCCTCAGGCCTGCAGAGGGATGTCAATCAGCTCACGCCTGATTGGCTGCGGACAATGGCGGAGATAACCGGAATCACGTGGGCGGCGGGCGGGAATTTTCCGGCTTGCAAATAAAATCATTTCGTATCGCCGAAATTACTGTCGATACCGTCGCTATACATCATCGCTTTTGTCCTCGCCCTTTGCTGGAGATATCTTCTGACGGCCCCCCACTCGCTCCCTAGCATATTGCGTCCGGCAGTCTGTCGTCAACTTCCTCGTCCTCTCGTCTAAACTTTCTTTGTGTTCCATCGCGCATCAATAATGGGTTGGTTCTGGGCAGACTCTCAAACAAAGCCCGCGCCCGCGGCTCCGCACCCTGTGCCATCTTCAGATGCCTCTCCTCCCGTACGTAAAAACGCTACTTAAGCGCAGATGCGAGAAATCTGACGAATTCGTATAGCCAGGATGTCCTATGCACGCATCTAACACCACACCGGCAATGCCAGCCCCGTCACCCGCCTCCGAACCTCCCAGTGCCTGTCCAGTCCGGTCTACAGATTCCCCGTTCTATGTGCCTCCGAAGTCCAAGTCCCCGGAGTCGCAGCCTCCCTCGAACCCAGCTCCCAGCTCCGACTCGCGTTCTACGCTCTCAAAGCTGAACCCTCTCAACTACATGTTCGCCTCGATCTCCCAGGAAAGGGCGCCCAACCAGACTGTAGATCTCCCGGTGGAGCGAGAAGTCTCGTCCATCCCCAGATCCGATATGAATGAGAACTGGGAATATCCTTCCCCCCAGCAGATGTACAACGCCATGCTGCGCAAAGGTTACACCGATACCCCGCAGGATGCCGTCGAGGCCATGGTTGCTGTTCACAACTTCTTGAATGAGGGCGCTTGGGATGAGATTGTTCGGTGGGAGCGTATATTCTCCAAGGGTTTGGCAGATGGCTGGGAGAAATGCCGTCGCGGAGAGGAGAACATCGTGATGGACGAGCTTAAGGAGCAGATGTCTAGGGCTCCCAAGCAGGATGTTCCTCCGCCGCGACTCATCCGATTCCAGGGTCGTCCGCAAGACCTAACGCCCAAGGCACGGATCCTTCAGGCTTTGGGCTGGGTGTATCCTGCCAAATTCGAGTCAGTACTCCCATTAGCGCCTGTTTCTTCTATTCCGTTTGAGGATTCTTAACTAACATTTGCCTGTTACTGTAGGTCAAACCCACCTTTCGATCGCCACGATTGGTTCGTAATGCGGCAGACGCCATCCGGTCCTAAGGAAGTCCGTTATGTTATTGACTACTACTCCGGCCCTCCCGAACCCACCGGAGAGCCTGTTTTCTACTTGGATATCCGACCGGCCCTGGACACCCCAACTGCCGCTGTTGAGCGACTAATGAGATGGGGAGGAGATGTCTGGTGGCGTGCCAGTGGCGCCTCCGTTCGGGAAAACTAACCGACTGGTTGGTCGATTCATCAATCGGTTGATTATCGTTAGCATCGCATGGCCGCAACTTTCGTCGACACCGTTCAGCAGGATACTCTGGGAAGGCGCAGGCGTCTGGTCTCGGTTCTTCGTTCATTCTGTGGAACTGCCCTGCTATAGTATTCATGTTCTTGTTCGATCGGATCACTTGGTTTGCGTGCCCCTCTCTATTCATTTCGGCTATGTCTTTATTATAACGTCATGTGGATGCTGGAGTATCAGGAATGTTCGTCGTCAAATCGGACGACCGGGGTTATTTCTCTCTATTGGTTGCATGCTTTTTCTGGGCTTTTAGTGCCACCCTCTCAGCTCCACTCTCTTCCCTTCATGTGGAATTTGTCTTGATATTAATTATCTTGATTTGTAATATATATGAATCCATGCTGCCATCAAATCGTGGGCGGTGATATGTTCGTGTTTGTAATTTATCGTAATGCTGTGCATAAGTGACTGGCTACTATATATTAATATACTGTACAGGATGGCTTTGCCTCGGCAGTCATTTCAGCTCAATCCGTCATTTGCTTGACGTGTCCCGGCAATACATCACTTGAAGCACGACTGACAAGATCGGTGCTGACTGTGCCAACTGTGGAGAGTAGTGGAGAGTAGTGGAAAGCTCGACCACCGGCGCTATTAAGGGTATCTGTCGCTCAGTGCCTGACGGCGAGATGGGTATCAACGTCAGGTTGGAAGCCAAGGTTGATCTCTGTGCGTATAGAACCGAGGGTATACATCGCACCCCGATTTTCTGTTACATCTCTCGAGCATCATTGAGCTGAATACGTGTTCTGGCCCTGGACCGCTTGGAGAAGTATGCGGGTGCTGGCTGTGTTGTTCAATCCTTCCCCTTGCATCTGCAATCATATGTTAGGCGATAAGAGATCGTATTTGACACACTGCTCGACGGTTTCGAAACTGCTTTGGAGCAATCCGCGTGCCTCCAGCCCTACCCATACGCGAAGCATGGACATGTCGCCGGACCGGACTGATTTGAAAGCGGTAGTGTTAGATCCCAATTTCCGTAGAATGGGAAGGGAGCTAAATAACAAAACGAGTCAGTCAGTGGGCCATTCGAGGTAACAAAGCCAGAAGGTCTACCTACCTCTTGAAAAGGTCAAGGTTGGGATCCAAATTACGTCCAATGCCCTCAAGGAGAAGACATGAGATAACGACATTTACAAAATCCCCCTCGAGTCGAACGTGATGCTTACGGACCATGGATAGGACATCACTCAGTACATCTCCGATCTTGACGCTACCGAGGGCAAACGTGCGTGACTTGATGTTTAGCACCAGGTGTTCCATGCCCAAAGCGAAGTAATATGGGTCGATCACTGCATCCGGTTGACGACATCGTTCGACCATGAGTTCACCTGCTCGATACCCATCGAACTCGGCAATGGCGCGAAACAGGTCAATGAAATTGCGCCGGTTAAGTTCATTAAGTTGAGTCACCAGTCCAGTGTCGATGAATATGAGCTGGGGTCGATAGCCTTCAATATTTAGATCATCAAGCGCTTTCACCCAGTCGCGCCGATTATTAATATGTGGACGCAACCGTGCGAGCACAGATTCTGTAACATCAACCTCTTCCGCAGATGGTGCATCCGATGCGCGAGACTTATTTCCCAGTGACAGGTCCAATTCACTCGGCCGGTAGAATCGAACCATGATGTTCCCGGGGTGCAGATCCGCATGGACGAAGTTGTCGATCAACAGCATATGGAGGAAGGCATCTAAGCCTTCGTTCGCGATCTCTTCTTGATAGACGCCTCCACCTACCTCGAGGAAGGTTGATAAGGGAATACCTTGTGCAAACTCCTCCACGAGCACCTCGCGGGTAGAATAGTCCAGATACGGGTATGGGAACCAGGCTGTGGTGCGTGACCTGAACTTCTCACGGAACATGACAAGGTTTGTGGCTTCAATCCGTAGGTCTAATTGTAATTTCATCATTTCACCAAACTGATGAACTTCATCCGGTAAAGACAGCCAATTCATGGTAGGTATGACGTTGACTAAGGATGCGAAGAACGACATGATTTTCAGATCTCTGTGAATCACGCGTTCTACCCTCGGATGAAGCACCTTGACGGCTACATAGGACGATGGTACCCTTTGAGGAGAGCTCTTGACTAACGCCCCAACGTTCTTTCGTACCTTGTCTCGTAGACCATGTGGATGAAGGTCGATGTCGTCATCGGTCCCCGCAAGATTGGGCTTGAGCTTCGCCTTGTATACCTGCGCGATAGCGCCCACGCCCAATGGTTCTTCTTGGAATTCCTCGAATATGTCTTCGAATGGCAGCCAATTGAACGCCTTCCTTATTGTTCGCTTCGTTTGATGCAATGAGTGTGCAGGTGCATTGGAATGCAGTGATGACATGATGTCGCAGAGTTCCGGTGGGAAAATATCGGTACGTGAGGCCGCCCATTGTCCAAGCTGGATGAAGACCGCGAATGAGTAAAGCACGGAGTGAAAGAGCTCGACGACTAATTATTTACCTTGATGAATGCTGGCCCTGCGCGTTCCATAGATCGGACCAAAAACCTATACCACCAGAGAGTCCCTGTGCGTATGCCCTCGCGATCCTTCAACTGCTTTCCAAAGCATATCGTCGGAGCCGTAAGGATGACAGGTAGGAAGATTATGACGAGATGGACAAACCGGAAGCCCGTCGCAATCGGATCATATATGTAACAGTATGTAAAGACGTAGAGTGTTTGCCAGATTCGCTTCAAGCCTCGCGCATCGTCGTCGACGGTCTTTCGTACCTCCTGGCGCGAGACTTCCAGCATCTGCATTTCGCCGGTCTTCCCGTTGTCGTCATCTCCATCCTCGGCCAGTTGTAGGAATGCTCCTGGCGTCATAGCAGCAATGAGAACAGTTCTGATCGAGGGACCTCCCCTCGGGGGTCTTCGCAAAGGCTGCTGCGTCCATAATGGCCTGCGCGCGAAACGCAATCGAGGCTGCGGAAGAAGGCGGGACACTAGCAGTGGATTTCTACCACGGCTTAAACAGAAACGGCTCGCGAGGACGGCCGTCCTCATGTTCTCGTAAAGACACCGGCTCGAGAGCAGGTGAATCAGTCATCGAAAGCACAATAGCTGGCCTGGGCGGTCATAATAAAGGCGAGGGAGAGAGCGAAGAGGAGATGCGCTTGCTTTGCTTTGCTTCTGGTTGTTTGTTGGAGGTTCGGGATGGACAGGAAGCCCAGCCGGCGGGCCAAGCACGTGGGGCGACGTCATCGAGTAGTAGTACTTGTTCTCTCCTACTTACTGCTACTACGTAGTTGTGGTTTAGTAGTTCATACGATTTCTACGCGTTCTACGCATTCTACGCATTCTACGCATTCATGCAGGCGCCCGCTTCACGATCATCTTTCATTCTATGGAGTCTTCTAATTACCCGGTTCTATCTCCAGAGCTTACAGAATCTTTGCAGCCAATACCGGCCGGCAAGCCAACTGTCTAAAAATAATTTGTATCAGACCAGAGGTGACATAAGAAGGTATAAGATGCTTGTGAGGATGGATAGGCATGATGCTCTCTTAGCCATTTACTGTTGGCTTGGAGTCTTGAAGATGCCTGGACACATGGCTGTGCATTAACTGCTGCATGGTAGATTTATCGGTTTCGGCAAGCGTGTCGGGCTGGCAAGGGGGCGTCAATACCAATCATGGCTAAAATCTTGGTTCTGAGAATAGACTTACATCGCTCTTCAGCAACTCCTGCACTAGGACAGAAATATTGTCACGATCTTTCTTTGTCTGCAATTGTTCGGTCTCCTCCGCGGGTTCAGAGGCTTCTGCACTCAACGTCTTCTCAAGCAGTGGAAGAATTTCCATTCTTTGTAGGGATCTTGAAACTGCCATGGCGCCCCCTTGATCGGACGCCATAAGTGCCATTGCGAACCAGCCTTCACTCCGGACGACAGGCCACTGTGATTGGGCGATCATAGCACCAACCGGCAGCGCGATATCCTCATGTAAGTCGAAGAACCTGTCCAGCAGGGCAACAGCAGTAGGATCCCCTTCCCGAGACTTTGGCACCAAAGTACGGCATATGGAGGCTACAGTGCGTCCAATCTCTGTTTTGATGGGAGTAGAGTCTGTCTTCTGGAAGAGAGCAAGTAGCAAAGACAAATACGTCCGTTCGTCGTTAGAATCAGTGCCGTCCCTAGGGAGTCCCTCTAGGAGACGAGAAATATTATCAACCGCTGCCACTATCACCTGCCGTGCGATGCTTGTGGCGGCAAATTGAACCTGGGGGACGGACTCGTATTGCCATAGACGTGAAACCGCTGGGAGTATGCCAGCCTCTCCAAGTACCAGCCTGTTATTACCAGCGATCGCAAGGTTCTTCAAGAATCCAAGCGCAGAGTGTAATACCGCGCCTCTAACATCACTCTTAAGGATAGATATTAGTTCTTCATGTATTTTCAGATCTTGAACCATCCTTTCGCAGGTCGCGTCTGAGCGAGCCAAGTTGCCCAGGATAACACAGGAGCATATCTGCAGCTGGTCATCCGTCGACTTTAGCCACGTCTTGAGAGACTGGGCCAGAGGGGAATCCAGCGGATAGTACTGTGCGAATGAGGTGGATCCAGAGATCTCCGCGAGGATTTGGTTGATCTTCAACCGTGACTGTGCTAGTGCCTGGGTATCCTCAGCAGATGACTCAGTCTTAAAGGTCAGTGACCGGCTGAGCACCCCCAGAATGTCGGGCACCATGTAACTGGATATGCAGATTTCTTGAAAGCGCGTATTGTTTAGATATGTCGCCAGGCCACTGACAAGACCGGAGAAACGGGCTGGGGTGGAAGCGACATCTTCGTCAAGAGCAAGTTCTACAAGAAGTGAGATAGTCCCATCGGGAGACGAGGCGATTCCTTGCTCTGAACATTCCCACAGTTAGAATAGAAATGCAAAAGGGGGGGGGAGAGCGAGGTCATGCCTTGTTCTCCAACCAATTCGATAAGCTCAAAGACGTAGTCAAGCAGGGCATCCTTGCCCTTGAAGGCACCATCTTTCACTAGTTTCAAGAGGATATAGACTATCTTATCGGCAGCTAACTGTGTCTGAGCAGGCCCTATGAACCGTCAGCATCGTAACTGGCTTTGAAATCCGAGCAGGGGTTCCAATTACCGAAGTCGATGCAAATGTTATAAAGGACAGGGATTACCACTTGAATCAATTCTGGATTGCTTGAGTGCTGTACAATAGCAGCCGTGTAATTGTGCTCCACTACAGTCTCTCTATTCTCATCTGGGAACAATCAGAATTGAGCTTTCTTCAAGTTTCCCTTGGGGCCAGGGAACTCACTAGTGTCAGCACAGGAATTGCCGACGAGCCGTAACGCATGGAGGATGACTCTGTTATCAATGGTCTCCTTCGACGCTATAAGCTGAAGGAAGAAGTCGAAAACCCCAGTCTTGCCATAGGATACCCGCCATAAGGCTATCAAACATATTAGCTAGGTGACAAGACAGAAAGTGCTTGGTTGACGGTGATGATGATACCACCGAAGTGGTTGATGACTTACGGGCTCTGCTGCCATTCGCCATAGCCTCTGCAGCTGGTACTAGGTAAGGTGATCTGCACTTCCACAGCTTCTGAAGGATATCTGGAGTCTCTTTCAGAGCGTCCGAAACGTCTGCATTCTCTGCAGCTTTGAGGCATTTTTGCAGGGATTCGAACAAGTTCTTCTGTTCTTCAGATGGCAACGGCTCAGTTGCCGCAAGTGTGGAGGCCGGTGGCAGTGAAGCCAATTCGGAGAGAACTTGACTGAGAGGGGGACACTGTACTCTATGAGCACTCCCAACTGTCCCTGGGTTCAAATCAGATTGATGGTCGTTGCTCTGCATGCTCCCTGGGACGTCAGTCCTGCCACTAGGGGGTTCCATTTCTTGAAGCCCGCTTTTTGGTCGGTATGGCAAGCCCAAGCTAGGTGGTTATTGTAAGACAATAAAAAGGCGCTGTCCTCTAAAATTTGAAGCTATGTCGGAGTTATGAACTGCTCAATCATGAGGTTGTAAATGATTGCTAGGATGAATTCTATAGAGTATTGAGCGACAATGGTGTTCTTCACCTGATCGGAGTTAGCGCGAGAAACTATTGCACCCGAGGAATCCAAGGTGCAGGTAGAGCAAATAAAATGCAGGTGGTGTATTCTCAAAAGTAGTAAGTAGGTACTAGTACTGACTCTCTGCTACTCCAGAGGCTCTACTTGCGAGAAGAGACAAAATATCCAGATTAAGCAATTTCTGGAGCCTTTTACTTGTTTCTTTATTCAACATGCCAAATCTAACATTGCAGAACTAATCCATACTTTTACATTCTATACCGCACAGCACACAGCACTCACAACATACCAACTAACCACGGGATAGACGCAGGTCTCTAGTTTCCAGAGACTTGACCCCCAACGTCATGAGAGGGGGAAGTAAATCTACCCCTCCTTGGCCCTTACCTTGTCAGGTACCCTGCAGTCTAGTTAGTTAATAATATTTGATTAATCAATTTTGTGTCCATAACCAAGGAGCAACAGAAACTAAACCCGGATTGGGATGGCGTACGGCGACCCGACTAGTCCCGAGCCGCAAGTCCAGACCCGCCCCGATATGGCAACTTGGCCAGGCGCTCCGTACAGACAGACAGACAGACAGACACCAGCTTAACTCTCCCGCAGTCTCTCATTCTAAACCCGGGCAACATTGTAACATCACTTCTACCCTCTTTTACTTCAGTCCATCTTGACCAAGACTTTTTCTCTCGACTTTACACAAACATCACCATGACGCGTGCTCAGCAGACTCTCTCCGTTCTCCTACTTGTCTCCTCGGTATGCTACTAGCTCCGTCTAACAAACACGCTGTACAATTGTCGCAAACCACGTCACTAACCAGCATAATTTCCACCATGTCCAGCTCTACCTAGTCCTCTACCTTGGCCTCGTTCCTCTCAACGAGACCGTCCAGACTGAAGTCATCCCTGTTGTACGATTCCCCATCGCCCACCTCTGCGACCAACAACCCACACCTCCCCCCCTCCTTCATCTGCAATATCTCCGATCCGCAATTCCACACTCCCAACTTGCTAACCATCACACTTCATCTTCTGCAGCTCCCATTCTACGCCTTAATATGTTTTGGCTGTTATCTTCTCGGCCGACTGGGTCTGGCCATCCTCACATTCAATGATGTGCCCGAGGCGCATGAAGAGCTACAAAAGGAGATCGAACAGGCCAAGGCCGAATTGCGCAGAGCGAATGTCGATGTCGATTAAAAAAACAGCGAATCCCTCACTGTCCAATACCATATCAGTTTCTTTTCTTGTTGATTCGGCTGGTTTGTGCAATATGGTGGTCTGGTTTACTTGGATGGGGGCGGTTTATTACTACTAGCTTCTTTCAATGTTAGGTTTTCCTGGGGCAAAAGGGGCCCTTGGAGCATTGTTCCCTTGATGTCCTGTATGTGGAGGTGTGTTTCATGCCATTACACTGAAGTGAACTCTTCTTAGTCTGAGTAATTGGGTTTCAGCGGTCCAATTCGATTTTGTGTGTTTCTATGTCTATGCATGGCATGTTTACTACTATGGAACCACTTTTGTTTTGTGGTGTCACCTCCCTACTCGGGGATTCTTGTATGATGACACATTGCCATCTACATTCCATATTGAACGCCATGGAGAAAACGAATAGTTTCGCATTCTGCGTGAGCGAACCTGAATCGCAACTGTTGTTAAGAGGTAATACCAATCTATGTGATGTGAAGAATATGCAGTCGCTACTCAAGAGCAAAATATAAGCTAAGATCTTCATCATTCATGGTACCAAAATTGCTTTTGTTCTATCAAATAAACCCATCAAAACACCTTTCCGTAGCAAACCTGAAACATGCAAAACTCTTCTTCCAATATCTAACGGGGGGAACGCAGCATATATGCAACCAACGAGAGCCGGTATCTATGCGTGGATGGCTTAACCAGGATTTCTAGGCATGGAAAGACGAGGTAAAAAGAGTGGCTAAGCGAGAGCAATATCGCGCTGACTAGAAGAAGCTCAGACGAGAGGGTTCTCCTGAGCAAGTCTGTCGTGCTCGTCAATGTCCCTGTAAGATGTATATGTTAGTTCATATATCCATAGTCCGGCGCTTTGTCCAATGACGTACTTAGCTTCCCAAGGATAGCAGATCCAAACATCAGCGGTGGTGACGGATGCGTGGTAACGGCCAGAAGTCATCATATCCTCGGGCAAGACACCCTTCTTCGGCTTGTCCTTGTTCTGAAGAGATTGTTAGTCGTATGAAGGATTTAAATTCGGCGAAAGTAACAAAATCGTGATAATGAACGTACGTGAACAACGTAGACGAAGAAGTTGGTCTTCTCGCCTTCACGGCCGAGCTGCTTCTGCGCAATCTCAACGTCCTTCTGGAGCTCGCTGACGGCATATTCGAGGGTGGTACGGGTATCGTCAACTTCGTCAACAATGAGGATGTTCTTGCCAATGAGGTTGGCCATTTCCAAGGAGCTCAGGTCCAGCCATTGTGTACGGGTGACCTTGGTTCCGGGAACTTCCTCAGCGTCACCACGACCCAGGTCCTCGTAAAGCGACAGACCGATGGCCTGAATGGGGATGTTAGGCTCGCCAGTGCGCTTCAAGAAAGAACTGCGTGAAATATAAGTGTCAGAATAAGGTTCCTAAATGAGGTTGCGTTTTATTCCGACGAACCGGAGAATGCGGGCAGGGATGTAGCCACCACCGCCGATAGCAATCATAAGATTGGGCTGGAAGGTGTCCAGGATCTTGTCAGCGGAGGCCTGGCATAGTTTGTGAACCTGCCAAGGACATTCGGATGTTAGCGGATTGTTGCAAACTGAACGGACAAATGTGTGACGGCCAAGCTAGGCTGCGACGTAGGCAAGTGGCCAAATGACCGAGAATTATGAGCATGCAAGACCGGCAATGGCAGATACGCCTCACACAAGCCCAAAAATCAAGACCATCTACATGTGGCTGAAGGGCTCGGAAAATGTAGAGATTTCGAAAGCAACCTGCATACCTGGTTGTACGTGACATAAACCTTCTGAGGCATTTTGACGGCGGGTGCGAGGGGTTCGCAGGAATTGACCGATTGAGGAGATATGATAAGTAGTGTTGGAGATGATCAAAAGGCTTGACCGGAGGTCAGGAGCGTGTACAAGTGAGATGGATAGGTGAGGATACTAGAGAGTACGGAGATGGCAAGATCACATATGAGGGGTAAATTGGAACCCAGAAATTTTTTTTTTCCTTTTCGTTTTTTTACCCCTCGTTTTTTTTACTCAAATTTTTAAATTAGGATTAAAGGAACACCTGCGTCACAAGCTGGATAACTGGATAAGGTTCTCTGCCGAGTACTTTTGCCCGCCGGGCTGCCACACGACAGAGACAGATCAAATCATGGGCCCATGGGGGACTTTACCATATTCGGGATGCGGGGACTGTATTGTGGCCTATTAGGGTGTATCTTTATGCGCTAGTATGGTTTCTGAATCCCATTTGGGTATGGTCTGTTCCTGCCATCAGTAATGGAAATCAGTTGGAGAGGCGGAGGACGGAGGTCTCCGTCGCTAGGCGGTTTCCAAAAAAGGATGTTCCTGATATGCGTACTCTTGCGTTCTTCTGTACAAAGCTTCTTTACTAGTTACGTAGATCCTATGCTTATTACAGGAAATTCATAATGCAATTTCAGAATATACACCTAACTTAGGTTAGTTCATAACCTTAGGAGTAGTGTAATTCTCTATCTAGTTCTATGGCGGGGTATTCAGACCCCTCCACCAAGTAGGAGTCTCCATGCTTGCCAGATACACCCCTCACTTACTAAACATAGAAAACAGTCGATTCAGCTCCCATGGATAGCAGTTATTTTTTTTTTATCAAGAGAACTTTAATCGTCATTCGGTACCCGATTATATGCATCTTATGGGTATATATGCTGCGCTAAAATGACCCAAACAAGAAAACCTTCGAAGATTTCATCCCATCTCAATTACAACTTCTATTTGCCTGCAAGAGCGAGACGTTGGCACCCTCTATACAGGTGTATTCTCACCTGGCGACTCAGGCTTTATTCGGTTGACCTCAAAGCCTCCTTCATCTTTATCTTCTCCTTTCTGCGGCCAAAGTATCTGGTGATGCACGATGGCACGCACCATCATATAACAGACGAAGATATACATCAAGATTAGCGGAAACACCATAGCGCAGCCGATGATGGATATTGCCTTGCAAGAAAAGGCCTTTCCAATTGCAAAGGTTGCCGTTATCAGTGCCGTGTTCGGGAATACGAACGAGAACCATGCCATTGAAAAGACCATCCGGCCCGGTCCAATGGCAGACCAATGTGCGAAGCTGGCAATGAAGAAGAAAAATATTGCTAACCTGAAGCGCGTATCAGTACGAGTTTCGTAGAGACATTCAATGTAAAGGGGGTCAGTCATTCTTACCCCCATAGCCATAAACAGGAAAAGTTGGCAACAACTTTCACAATGTCTGCAGCTAATGCACCATTGCCCATGAAATCCTCCGGGAAGCTTCTTTTGGCATGGGCTGCCATATTGACAATCCCAGACACAGTAAACGCACTAGGACCAACCGACACGAACATACCTGGTCGGACATTTTCTCGGGGGAGCTTTTGCGACATTAGCCGGTAGATAAAAGCCGAGTATACCATCAGGGATACTAAGAAGCCAACGCCCTGGATAGTGGTACCACCAATTATGATTCGCAAGGAGCGAGCAGGCTCAAGTTTGGAGCTCAGGATCCCAGCATGAGGGCCTATTATAAGCATTGGGTACGCAGGGAAGATCCAAATAGGTGTCATTTGTGCAATTGTAAATGTCTGGGTCGACCACCTACAGCTCATTAGTTGTCCTGCTTGGTTTCTAGGCTCACAAATTTGATGTTAGGGCTCTTTGTACTCACAGAATAAGGTAAATAGCGGCAGAAGAGATGACTGCCAGGGCTGCATCAATCCAGAACAAAATTCCGACCGCATATGTGAGCCAGGGCCCTGTGTGATCGGGTCCATATTGTGAGATATTGATCAGAATCGTCCCGAAAGAGACCAGCGAAGCTGGAACGAATAATGATTCTGTCGGATGCAGAAAGGATGCTTTGAAAGTGTAAGGGTATAGATAGAAACGTGTTATCAAAAGACACCAGATTAAGATGTAGAGGAACAAGTTGGCTAGGAAGAAGATGATTCCAATGGTTTCCAAGCCGCGAAATCTATAGGGCACTATTTCATACTGGCGATCAGTACAATTACCCCATACCTACCTAAGACAAGGACACACTCACCAAAGTACAGAACATTTGCGATTCCCCCAGTCGCCATGGTTAGGGTGAAAAATGCCCAAGTAATGTGACGAATACGCTTCTTCCATCCAAGACCAGTTGGTCTGGTTTCAGCTTCACTCCGGGGGTAAGCCATTCCATCCACACCCTCGTCTCCATCTCCTTCAGACTTGCGATATGAAGAGCTGTGAATGGCGTCTAATGCCGAGGTGTGGGCCTGGCTGATTATAGATCCTCTGGGGTGAAAATAAGAATCGCCGCCAGTATTTCCTGCAAGGTCATTTTGGGTATCTTCAATGGTTGGGGTTCGGTAGCCATCATCCCCTGGGCTTCTCAGGTGTCTGGGAAACAAGCGATCCGGAGTCATTGCGGTTTCTCTGTGGGTAACGACGCAGTCATGCTTGTATTTTCTTGGACAAAGTCTCAGATCAGATCCCCTGCTGATCTCTTCTGGAACAGGTTCCTCGAAATGCAACTTCCCTTGCTGGGCAAGGTTTTCTCAGGTCGGGAATATCGGTCTCCAACTATATACCTCACAACTTGGTCTGAAACACATACACAAGGAGTCGGCCTGCTAGGGGGGGAAGGGTGATGACGACCACACAGATTTGCTTTTCGTCTTAAAGAGAAGTAAATCGCTTGAAATCAGGGATACAAAGCTGAAAGGGAAAGGAGATACAAAATGACGTAGAGGAAAGATCGGCCCCAGATCGACAAAGCCAGGAAAACCCACGCGTAAGACTGGTTTCACACACAGTTGGAACTGAAACGCATAGGGCTGGAGGACGTATATAGTAAGTAGTTTAAGTACAGCAAGGGAAACTAGCCACCACGGTGAGAGTTAATAAAGCGAAGAAAATAAAAATAAAAATAAAAGTAAAAGTCAAAAACAAGCGACTCCAGTGCGGCAGCGATCAAGATTCGACGGGGCAACTAGTGAGTAGTTATAGCTCCTCGCATGTCATCATCGCGGCACTGCTTTTCCTCTGCTAAGTTGCTAACAGGAGGCCGCCGTCCACTTCGCCGGGTGTTGGCACCAATCACACAAATGGGATCTTCCCGGTGGACTTTGTATGAGGAGGATGGTTCGGGGCCAAGCGGGTGAGCGAAAAGGGCCGTCAATAGTCAAGACGCTTCGACAAAGCTGATTCGGGGCAGATGCGTGCAAGTGATTGTCTAGAGCAGCCTTCCAGTTCTTGGTCTTCAAACTGTGGAGGACAGTATCACTGCCGTAAGTCCGAGGGCGACACATTGGGCAGGCAATAATGAATCAATCTGTTGCCTCTCGGATATCGGCACGCCTCCATGTTCGTAGCGGGGAAGCGGGAAGCGGGAAGCATACGTCGCCTATCTATATACTGTTAGTAGCCCGAAAGCTTGGTACCAACTATGTACCACTAGATCAGAACATCTAGTCTTTGTCACCCAATTATTGCCTGCATAGTACTGACAAATACTTACTACTAGTACTCTCGTATTCTTCAATCCTGCGGCAAATAAAAAGCATTGTGATTCGTTGCGTTGCGTTGCGTTGCAAGAGTACTACCGACTCCTCAAGACCTCTCCAATGCAGTCTATGATCCATTTAGTGACTGCGCAGTAGCTAGCTCACAATTTTCTCAATCGATTATTATTGCCCATCATACTATTGAGTTATTTCCCCGTTAGCCAACCCTGAACAAATTGGCGAAAGCACAGCTAGATAATTCTTACCCTTTCCGTCGATACTGCCCAAGGGATGCACATCCTACTTCATAATCAGCATGATAGCTAAGCTGAGAGCATTCGAGACACATGAAGTAAAGACGACCGACCCATTTATGGCCCGTCTTTAGATGGATGTCAGAGGGCTAGCTATCTGTATCCCTAGCATGGGATAGGATGGATAGTTATTATAAACTCAAGCCTGCAGGTACACCTCATCTTGCATATGCCACTTACTACGTGGTTATACATGCTCGAGGCTGGCTCTCAGATCCAGATCTCGTATTGTCACATTGATCTAGAATCTCACAAATCCTCTTCTAAGTATAGTGCCCAGTACATCTTCGCGAGTACATTATTTCCCTACTCAGAAGCCTGCCGGAACATTTTATTTCCGGGTCACCATCTACAACAGCAACGCTTCTGGGATACAATCATTCTAGAATACACATGACCAAAATGATACCCCTGCTGTGCTGTTAAGAATTCCATAAGAGTTATGAGAAACTCTGACCATCTAGGTAGTATACAGTAAGTGTCGTGTCAAGTTCGGGTAATCAGTTTGAAATCTTCGTTTCATGCATAAACGGAAAGCTGCAGCATCTTCTCAGTAGGTTTTCAATAATAAAGTGACGGCTAAATATACAGGATGCTAATCAAAACAAAATGCCGCCGGGAGGTTGAGCAGCTGGCAGCATGTGTCGGGAGTAAGGTATATATTCCTTTTTACATGTGGTAATCTTACCGAGGTTCTGCATCTGAACTAGTGTGATCGGCAGGATAGGTACATAGATAGCAGGAAGCCTCGGAGAAGGACTTTCCAACTTTAGCCTGAATTTTGTGACAGATCATTAAGATACATCAGATCCCGCACCTTCGACAGTCATTCTCCATCGGCCCCGCTTTAAAGCACAATGAGAGGAACCGAAGACGGACGGAAGTCTGTGCTGATTACAGGGTAGGTGTTGCACATGATCGTCATTCCGTTGACATGTTACTTATGCCGCCTAATCATGCAGATGTTCTCCTGGCGGTATTGGGAACTCTATGGCCCGTGAGTTTCATCGGAATGGTCTGCGTGTGTTCGCTACTGCCCGTGATGCAAAGACAATCGAAGATCTATCGTCTATTGGGGTCGAGACCTTGAGTCTTACTGTGGACGATGAGGAAAGCGTCCGACGATGCTTTGAAGAAGTGAAAGAAAAGCTTGGGGAGAAAGGACTGGATTATCTTGTCAATAACGCGTAAGTTGTCACCTTTCATCCGGTGACACTTCATGAGCTGATATAGTCGCCAGTGGCCGGAGTACGTCTGATTATTCTTATGGCTTCATGGAAACCCTTTCTTATGCATGATAGATTATACTGTGCCAGCTATGGAGGCAGAGCTCTCCGAAATCCGTGACACGTTCGAAACAAACTTTGTCGCGGTTGTACACATTTGCCAGACCTTCCTACCGCTACTTATGAAGGCTAAGGGAACTATTGTACAGATTGGTTCTGTTGCTGGGGTGGGTGTGCTCGGAGGAAAGCTTAAAGGAAGAATACTTGTGCTGATACTGATCCAGGTTGTTCCCTACGTTTTCGGGTCCGTATACAACGCCTCAAAGGCTGCCGTGCACTCGTTTAGCGATGCTTTGCGCGTGGAACTAGCTCCGTTCGGGTATGTTACTTCAATACCCCCCTCCGCCCTGCAACACATTTATTGATACGGAAATATCAAGTGTGCACGTCACTACCGTCGTTACCGGGGGTGTGCAATCTCGCATCGCCCGTGTCAAGCGTACTCTGGTTCCCGGCTCAATCTATGCACCAATCGAGGACGAATATAACCGACGGGTGGTACATAGCCAGGCTGGGGCCATGCCAAACGAAGCATACGCTCGCAGCGTGGTCACACAGGTCCTCTATGGGTCTGCACCATGGCGCTGGATTTGGCCCTGGGCGCAAGGTCGGAAGAACTGGATCTGGGAAGGTAACAAAAGCTGGTTGATCTGGCTGCTTATGGGAGGATGGGCCTGGAACGGCCTGTCTGGGAAGATTGTGACGAAGATGTTCAAACTCAACAGACTTAGAAGAGCTGCTGGGAAATGAAGGAAGAGGGGACGGTGTAAGGACGGATGAATCTGTTCTGCTGGATGGGGTTCTCGTCGATCCTTCGGGTCATTCGGTCCAAGTGTAGTATTAGCATTTCAAAACACGGCGTTTTCTGGTTGGGATGTCATCTTCTCTGCTTGAACCGTTTGCTTGACATCAGTAAGACTGGTCTTTCGACATTGTAGGGAAATAGATGGTGCATGCCGACGCCGTAAGACCGTTTAAACCATTTGCCGTATGCCCCCGGGCTAGGAGGACAAGCCGGCGGATTCAGGGTTCGGGTTCGGGGCGAGGTGCCAGTAGAAGAACTAAGCTGCCCGAGAGGCATAGTAACTTCACAAACGAAGCCGAGATATCATGATTTCCTCTGCACAAGACATTTCTCACTGATGTTGCCTAACGGGTTCGGATCCATGCTGACCGTCCCAAACAGGCCATCGACGAGCTTCAGACTCGATAGAGACCAGGCGAGAGGATGGCTCCGTTCCGTGATATTCGCGTCGGAAACTGTGCTGCTTAATCATCCCGAGGCGCACGCTGGTTGGCCCGTCAGGTGACTGCCGATGGCTACTCCCAAGGCAATTATCATCCCGAGAAGCGCAGCCGCGAAAAAGAAAGCTGTTCTCCCATCAACACCCCAAATACTTCCCCCATCTTCTCACGCATAACCTCACGTCGGAGGATACTCTTGTTCTTGTCACCCCTCTCTCCCCGACAAGACTTTTTTGATCCCTCTCCTCTCCTTTCTTCTAAATACCTCAGTCACCATGTTCAAGCTTGCCCGCAGCAAACCGGTTACGGCAGCTTTGAGGGCTGCGACGGTAAGCATCCCTGGGCCCTTTTGCCCTTACCTCCTGCCAAATCTTCTAAAGGCAGATCGGCGTGCTAACATCTCCGTTGTTGGCAGGAATCTTCCGTCCAGTCCCGTGTTGCTCAGCAAAAGAGAAACCTGTCGATCCACGAATACCTGTCTGCGAACCTGCTCAAGTCGGTGCGTCGGGCACCCAGAATTCTGCTGTAAAATTTCGCCTTGCAATTATCACTAATACGATACTACAGTATGGCGTCGGCATGCCCAAGGGTGAAGTCGCCCGCTCCGCGGAGGAGGCTGAGGCCGTTGCCAAGTCCCTCGGTACGTTTTTGTGATCCGCCATGCTCCAACCCAAAAGTCGCGACGGCTACTAAGACGGGGACGTTATAGGTAATGACGACATGGTCATCAAGGCCCAGGTCCTTGCTGGTGGTCGTGGTAAGGGTACTTTCGACAATGGCCTTAAGGGTGGTGTGCGCGTGATCTACTCGTGAGTGTGACCCGCGTTATTCCGAGTCTTCCCTTGCGCTGATATTCATAAAATTTTAGGCCTACCGAGGCCAAGATGTTCGCTAGCCAGATGATCGGACAGAAGCTCATCACGAAGCAGACTGGCGCTGCTGGTCGTCTTTGCAACTCTGTCTACATCTGTGAGCGCAAGTTCGCTCGCCGCGAGTTCTACCTTGCTGTCCTCATGGACCGCGCCTCTCAGAGCCCCGTCATTGTCGCCTCGTCGCAGGGTGGTATGGACATTGAGGCCGTCGCCAAGGAGAACCCCGAGGCCATCATCACCACTCCTATTGACATCAAGGTCGGTGTGACCGATGCCATTGCTCACAAGATCGCCACCGAGCTCGGCTTCTCCGAGCAGTGCGTCGAGGAGGCCAAGGACACCATCCAGAAGCTCTACAAGGTCTTCATCGAGAAGGATGCTACCCAGATCGAGATCAACCCTTTGTCTGAGACCTCCGACCACAAGGTCATGGCCATGGATGCCAAGCTTGGCTTCGATGAAAACGCCGAATTCCGCCAGAAGGAGGTCTTCTCCTGGAGAGACACCACCCAGGAAGACGCCGATGAGGTCAAGGCTGCCGAGTAAGACCTTCCTGGCTCTTAAAATCACAACGTTCGAAAGCATTCTAATCTACGGCATAGGCACGGTCTGAACTTCATCAAGCTTGACGGTGACATTGGATGCCTGGGTATGGGTCCCTCAAAATCGACTGATAAGAATTATGCTAACGGTCCGCCATAGTTAACGGTGCTGGTCTTGCCATGGCCACCATGGATATCATCAAGCTCAACGGCGGTGCCCCCGCCAACTTCCTCGATGTCGGTGGTGGTGCCACTCCCGCCGCCATTAAGTCCGCTTTCGAGCTCATCACCAGCGACCCCAAGGTGACTGCCATCTTCGTCAATATCTTCGGCGGTATCGTCCGCTGCGATGCTATTGCCCAGGGTTTGATCAACGTCGTGCAGGAGATGGGTCTGCGCACCCCCATCGTTGCCCGTCTTCAGGGTACCAACATGGAGCAGGCTCACAAGCTGGTATGTTCTTACCATCAATCGGGGGATCAGCGTAACGAAAACACAAGCTAACTGACGTGATTTGCAGATCAACGAGTCTGGTCTCAAGATCTTCTCCATTGAGGATCTCCAGAGCGCTGCTGAGAAGTCTGTCCAGTTCTCCAAGGTCGTCAAGATGGCCCGCGAGATCGACGTTGGCGTTGAGTTCACCCTTGGTATCTAATCTCCGAGTCGGATTTGGATTTATAGATGTGTCACCTTGTCTACTGCTCCACTGTCTCTTGTACTCTTTTTATTTTCCTTTTATTTTCCTTACTTCCCTCTTGCTTTCCCCCACTCCGATGGCCGGGGATTCAGAAGGTTCATGCGTGTTCGATGGTGCAGCGAGATGCGGAGCAATAGGCCGACGGTTGGTGACCATGGGCTTCGTCGACGATGCTAACGCACTCCTGCTGCCTAGAATAAGATCGGTCATAGGGGTTGTCACAAACGAGTTGCTATAATGGTGAAATGAGACGGATTCAGGCAGAGAGAGAGCACGAGGGGTATCTTTATAGAGAGCATTTGATGGTCCTGTATATCGTCCATTTCTAGGTTCATTTTCTTATGTCAAAATGTATTTTCCCTTTTTCTGTGCCCCCTTTGGTGTCGTTGGGTGATAATACCCCTCACGCTGCTAGAAGCGCCAGATCGGTAGACTCTGGAAGATGTACGTCCTTGAACCGCCACACTTTCACATCAATCTCGTGGAGCAGGAGAATGAATTCCCTATCGCCGCGGAGAGTGAAGAGGTTCGAGTAAATGCCGTCCGAGGCTTCTCGGGGCAGCCCGAGACTCATAGATTTGGCCGGGCGATGAGGGATTCGGGACGCTGGGTTGAAGATCCAGATAGCCGGTTTCCCCCTATCGCTCTTCACATAGTAGAGAAGATCGCCGTCCAGCACGGTCATGCAAAAGGGGAAGTAAGGTGTGCATTCTTCCTGGAGCAATGTGTGCATGTGGATTTTGTCCCGCTGCGGGTCGTATGAAACTACAAGGACATGGTGCAAGTTGGACGCTGTCGTTGTCGACGACGGCGTATTGAGTTGAGACGGCGGTTTGCAGATAAAGACAGCCAAGTTGCTAGCAGAACTGTTTGATATATCCGCAATGCTCCAGTCAGATTGAATAGGGGACGGTAAGTGTAGTGTATAGGGGGGAAGTGGACTGGTGATGCGTCCGTGGTCATCAAAGGTGTGTTTTACGACACGTAGTCTGTCCCAAGGCGAATGGTGAGTGTTCATGGGATCATCTCCCTTTTCGAGGACGAGAGTAGTCACGCTGTTGGTGCTGGGTTGCAAGCCTATCAATGCCAGGTGGGAAGTTACATCGATGGTACGAGCGGCTCGCGAGCCCATGTCCCAGTAATAGATCTTGCTCTCCTCGTCACCAGCTGGAGAACAATAACTGATACTCAGAGCAACCTTGAGACCACTAACAATGAAGATCCGAAAGCTGAAAGCGGGGATGCGGAACGAGGCGTGTTCTTCCGTCTCGAGGTTCCAGGCGTGGCAGTATCTAGACTCGGGATGAGCTGGGTGTCTAAAGTGTTCCTTTCTCGGCGAAACCACCACAAGATATAGTGTATCTCATGTGTACTTACGCACGCGCGCTGATTGCGACCACCATGGAATCGGAGAGACGCAAATCCCAGAAAGAATCTCGATTCTCCGTGCAGAAACGCTGGGTGGAGCGCTTGCAGAGATCGTGCACGACGACATGGGTGCCGTTGTCTAGCCAAGCACACCTTCCATTGGCGTAATCCAAGCATTCAAGCTTTGAGCCATCTGTCCGAAAGAGGTTGGAGGCCTGGAGATTGCAGATGGGTAGACCACGCTCCAGCCGGATTCTATACTTGGCATATTGGGTGAAGTGGTCAGCTGGGACATGTTCTGCTGCGAGCACATGCCCTGTGTATTGCTGGTATACAGCACCCTGGATCAATTCTGACGAGAGTAGCTGGTGCCACTTTCTAGAGACCTGGTGGAATGTGGCTTGAACTCAGTCTCGGGGGTCATAGGGGTGGCTGGTCACCTTTCCAAGGCCACGGGGGGGATGGCAACATACTCTATGAAGGATATGGAGGTCAGAAAGGTCGAGATACTGAGCGATTTGAACTGCGACTTCTGGGGGGGATTCCGCTAGAAGATCCATTTGAAAGGAGCGCTGATTGGTACGCTTTTGTACATCGCGCCATTCATGGGGGTTCAATAGGTCTAGAATGCGATGATACCTGTCGGGAAGGGCTGCATGAGCTTAAGCTAAGATGGAGGTTTTTGAAGGGGGAAAGAGGGGAAAGGAAGATGATCGATGACGGATGGATGGACAGTCATACGCATCCTGTCGAGCTGAGCTCGTATTCAGATGAGTGAAGAGGGTGATGATTTGCTGTATAGAAGCGGCATCGGCGGCCATGGCTGACGGCCAGTCGACGCTATTCTTAGACGAGGTCTCAGAGTCTCAACTACGGAGAGGATGATAGATGGATAGTAGTTTGGATAGTTTAGACAGTCTGGGTCTGGTGGGTGGATGGTACTAGTAGAGGAAAGGGAAGTCCGATAGTTAACTAGTTAGTAGGGAGTAGAGTAGTTAAGGCGAGCCGTCCTGCAGGGTCTAGAGCTGCTCAGACAAGGCAGGCACGCAGGCAGGCACTCTTCTCATCTTTTATCACTACTACTTTTTATTTTTTACTACAGTACACATTGTGAAGAAGGAAGAGTTTCTGTTTGGTCATTTTTTGGATCTCTTCGGTTTCTCGCATAATTTATTATTTCGAGAATTTGGCCAAGTGCCTATCTAGAAGCACCGACAACTTTTTTACTGAGTACTAAAGTACTCCGTAGCACTGACTTGCATTCTTGATCCATCCACCAATAAATACTATGCAAAGCACGACCTTAATTTTTTTTTAGTTTCGTTCCCTCTCCCTCTTTTCTTCCCCTCCTCCTTCTTTCTACTTCCTCTCCCAGACTTTGGGAAGGGCTTACGTCGATCGGAAAGTGACGAGGGGAAAAACAGGAAACGCTGGGTCATCGATCTACGGCGCAGCCCCAGCAGGCGATCGGAAGGCGAAAA